ACTTACTCAGTGGAAGACTTAAACCTCAGAAATAACCTCAAATAAAAAACTTATGAAAATCTTAGAATGTCTTTAAAGAAAGCATTCAAACTACCCAAAATGGCTACTCAAGTCTCATAGCAAAACATCTGAAATACAAAGGTAAAAGACTCATAACTAACTATCTGACTATCTATGAAGCCTTTAAAACAAGAAGGGATGTCGAGACAAGACCCACGACATCCTAATGAATTGAAAACTGAAAAGCAATAAAAGGAGTCCTCCAGAAGCAATGAGGCTCACCAATAACTCTGGAGCTTAACTAGAATTAACGATGCGTTGGATGTTGATCTTGGTTACCTGTGTTTGCGTCATAAGAAGATGCAGGCAAAATGACATCAGTACATTGAATGTACGAGTATGCGAGAGGAATTTTAAAACAAGACATAAGCTTGAAAGGAACGGAAGAACTTACCTGGCTCAACTCAACTCAACTTAAATGAACTCATTTCAATATAAAGCAGTTTAAAACAGGTGCAATATAAAGAAAAGTTGTTTAAAACATGGATGTCAACTCTGTGTATTTTGGAAATACAATAATACTATGTATGTAAAGATACAATTATAACTCTGAAATGTATGTAAAAATACAATTAAACTGTGTATATAAGAATACAATTACTTATGTGGGAGTTTCTCTAACCGACAACCATCACTTAAGAGCTATTGTGGTGATACATCGTTTTGCCTCACGCTGCCAGGGTCATCCTATACCGTGCCGAGGGTATAAAACCTGACTACTAAGTGGATCCACTAGTCTATGCTAAAAAGCACTAAAGGAATCATCTAAAAAGTATGACCCTTTTCTACCCATGATGGCTACATAGTTTATGGGGGATGTGAGTTGTCTGAACTCTCCCTCATATTGATGCTCAATACTACTCCCAAAATATGATACTAGCTTTTATGTTTAAAAACATACTTCTTTATGTGATTTGAGATAATTGCTCAAAACTTAGCTTAAAGGCTATCTTGGAAACCAAAGTTTCCCCTCTTGTTTAATTGTGAAAGCGTTCACTCTTTTTTGAAAATTAGCTCAAAGGCTCTTTGGAAATCAAGGTTTCCTTTTCTTGTTTAAATGTGAAAACATTTTAAACTCTTTGGGAATACATAGTCCCCATATACTCTTTGAAGAAATGAACTTCATTCTTTACTTTTTACTCTTTACTCAACTTGAACTTTAAGTCTTAAAACAAAGTTAAAAGCATTTGTGAAAGACTTCTTGAAAGGACTCTAAGAATTTCCTAGACTTGGCTCTTAACTTTCCTTGATTTTGAATTTTATGGATTCAAGGTTATGATTCATGTTTCTGGATGATTTCTAGATGTTTAGAAATCATTTAGAGTAGTTAGAATCAATAGGAAGTGTTAGTACACTTTAGAAGGACTTAAATGGGCTAAACGACGAAAAACGGGTGGGGGCAGATGACCCCGGCACGTCCCTGGCGCACCGTGCTAGTCCCTAAGTTACTGGGGCTCATTTCTGGTGCACTGCAGGCGCACCGCCCCAGCCTCTCTAGCGCAGGCGCGCGCAGCAGACCCTCCTCGGGTGAATCTGACGAATTTTTCTTCCCGATTTCTGACCTTAATTCGATTAAACCCAATTCCTTTTCTCAATATCTTCTTAGATTTAGATACACAAAACATGTACACTATAATCTAACTTGAAACAACTACTAACAGCGCTAAAACATCTCAAGAAAATCCATTAAGCCCATATAAGTTCAAGAATGAAAACAATTCAAGAACACAACTCAAGAACATCAAATTCTCAATCTTTTTGGACGAAAATCACCTTGAATTAAACATGTTTGGTGCATGGGTGAACTAACCCAATGCTATGTGATCTCACATACCTCGTAGGATTGAATCCTTGGTGAAATCCACAATCAAACTTGAACGTTCTTGACGAATCTTGTCTTTTCTCCTTCTTTCTCCTCTTTTCTCCTTTCTCCAAACCCTAACGTAGATTTCCAATTTTCTAAACTGACCAAATTCTGATTTGACCCCAATTAAACTCCTAAAAATGGATCAAAATAATTGGGTAAGGAAAAGACTAAAATTCCCTTCCAAAATTCGGTTTTAGACTTTCCTTATTTGAACAGCCCAACTTCAAATGGTCATATCTCACTCATACAAACTCGGAATCACGCAAACTTGGCGTTGTTGGAAAGATTATTCCAAGATCTTTCCTACGATACCTCGAAACACACCTAACTCATCTTGAGCTAGGAGTTATAGTCGTTTGAAGTTGACCAAAAACTCAACTTAACATACTTAACAAATTTTCCAGAACCTAACTCATCCTAATGTAGGAGTTATGGTTATTTGAAGTTGACCAAAATTCCAAATTAACATACTTAACAAATTTTCCAGATTTTTATATTCTTTCCAAAAATGACTATTTCCACTTTTTAACTTCTTTCTAGTTCTTTGTAGTTACGGGGTGTTACACCCGACACGACATTATACATAAATGAAGAATAGTTTGAAACTTAACTTTAAAAAATTTGGGGTGTAGCACACACAAAATGGACCGTGAATGCAATTCAAGCCAGCAAAACAAATCTACAACATAAGTTCAAGAAACCCTAATAGGCCATCCATGGCGATGCAAGTAAGATCTATGACCTGCACATTGAATAACGGCCGTGGATTGGATCGCGAAGTATGTTGACTGTCCAAGTTAGAATTCTTGGATCATCATTATAAATAGACACGTTAGATTTGAGTTGAAGAGAGTTCATAATTTATAGTTTAGTCTTAGTTCTCTACTAGTCAATTTACACCTTTTCTAGCTCTTTTGATATCTACTTATTAGAGTATTCTATTTTATTTTTAATTATTTTTTAGTTGACTCATGGTCGGTCCAATCGACATTGCTCAAGCCCCACGGATCAACAAACTTATTCGAGCCGCACTAAAAATCCTTGTTCTTAAATGAGCTTCAAATTTTTTCGTTCAACCTTATTAAATCACAAGTAGGGCCAAACCAACTCAAAAGGTCTAACCTATATTAATGACTCTAGTTTTCCTTAAGGTATAACTTCTGCATTAAACATGATTTTTGATTCGCACAATAAGACTTGAGAGAAGTATTGAAAATATTCCTAAACTTGGCGTGAATTGTCAGTTTTGTTCCTGAACTATTGACAACCTTAAATACACCCTCTACTTGGCTAACTAAACTTAAATACACTCAAGATCTTGCCATATATGTGAAATACACCTCTAAATTATCCCCATTTTTAGGGATATTTTCAACACTTTTCTTGACCCCTATATTAAGAGTCTCATGCTCTTACAAGAGTTTGAGACCACTTGTTATGTCATGCGACAGATCGGGGGTGTATTTAAGTTCAGCTAATCAAGTAGAGTGGTGTTTTTAAGACTGTCAATAGTTCAGAGATGAAACTAACAATTCACACCCAGTTCAGGGGTGTTTTCAATACTTTTCTCATAAGACTTTTAGAGAACTTTCGCCTTAAGGCATAACTTGTGCCATTGAACTTATGTCATATTGCATAATTTGGGCTACTAAACTTTTGCCTTGGGATATAACTTATGTCTTAAGTTTAATTTCTTTTGCCTTCAGGTATAACTTATGTCACTAAACTTATAACTTGTATCTTGGACATAATTTCTCCTAGGCGAAATGGTATGTGTATGCGTTTGTATTCTGGACCCTTCTACTTGAGTATTTGTCAACTGAACCCTTAAACTCTATGTTTTAAGCCCTTCTGACCGTTGACCAAGCTTATGTGGCAACTTAATTATTGAGTTGGCACAAATGCGTGATGTTACGCATAGAAGGAGCGTGAAAGATCAAATTTTAGACTAAAAATATTTTTTTTCTTTTTAAAAATAGATTAAAAAGATAAAAATAATAAATTTACTTTTTTTTCCAGTTCTTTCTTCTTTTCCCACCCCACCATCCCCATTTCTTTTTTTTCTTTCTACTCTCAAACCCCCATTTCTCTTCTTTCTCCCCTTTCCGGTCCTTTCCAATTTTTTGTTTCTCTCTTCTTCTTTTTTTCCACATTTTCTTCCTTTGGGGAATAGAAACAAAATTGTATTGTTGTTGTAGATCTGTATTTTTTTTTATTTTCGGGGTAATTTATAACACATAAAGTGATAAAGATTCAACAGTACTCTTGAAAGATGATAAGTGATTGTTGAATGTCTTCGTGAAATTATGTGAATGTGTTATGTAAAATTCTGTACAAATATTAGAGTATATTGTGTTATTTTAATGGCTCTTTGTTAACATCGATGGGGAAAAGAGATTTATGGTGGTTCAAGTGGTAGATGTGAATGTTGGTAAAAGAAATACGATTAGAAGTTGTGAATGAAAGAAATTTCGGAAAAAAAATCAAATGATAAGTGTTAGTTATTTAGGAATGTAATGATACTAGTGAGAATGGAAGGTTGTGGTGGTATCTCTAATGTAAAAAAAAATAGGAGAGAGGTGAAGGGATGAAGGAGGAATGAACTGAAAAAGAAAGAAAAATCAGATTTAAAAAAAAAATAATCATAATAAGTGATGTGTCATTTAAAATGTGATGTGGATGATGATATGTCATTTTTGTCAAGTGTTTGAAGTTCACACACATCGAAAGGGATTTAAAATGCTTAGTTTCACTGAGTTTAAGAGTTCAATTGACAAAAGTATAATGATTCAGAATACAAACGCATACAGGTACAAGAGTATATCAGACCGTTCCGCCTTTCTCCTATAATGGGCATAATTTTTGCCACTAACCTTATGCTATGAGATATAACTTGTGTTATTAAGCTTATATATACTTCTAATGCTTTGTGATTTTTCTTTTTTCACCCTCACAGACATTTTTGATTTTTTTTTATACTAAAGTTTTGAGGATAAAAATTAAAAATCAGCATTTTTGAGGGGCAAAAATTAAAACCACAACCACCAAAATAGAGATATTTATGCAATGACCCCTTCAAATTTAAAAAATAGCAAGTCCAAGGCAACTCCCAGAGTCGGCGATTTGGCAGCAAGTTCGTCAGTTGACCTGCAAATTCAAGTTTGAGTAGTTGCGGGATCGGAAGAAGGGAAGAAGGTGATGGGGATTATAAGGAGCAGTTTCTCATTGATGGCAGGAACTGTTTGCGGTATTTACATAGCTCAGAACTACAACGTCCCCAATATTAACAAGCTTATACAGAATGCATTATTCAAAGCCAAAGATGTAGAAGAGAAATACCGCAAGCCCCCTAAGCCTGGCGATCGTCTTTAGATTCACTCTCCTTATTTCAGGTTAACAAATTCTTCTTCCTTTCAAATGTAAATTCGAATAATTCCAACAGTAACTCAAATAATCATTAATTTTGTGATCTGTACACCACGCTAGAGTGAAATCTTCGAGTAAATTTGAGCTGATAATGATGATTTTTGTTCGCCTTTTTATTTAATATCGCTTAATTTGTGTAATTACGTTTAGTTGCTGTGGTTGGTGCTCGACTGTCTAGTTAGGCGTCAAGGTTTAGCAGGGTTAAGACCAATTTCCCTGTACTGTTTGAGGCAGAGAATTCGAACAGTAGACCAGTCTTCGCCGGCAATTTTTGAGTAGAGACAGAGATCAACCATAATACAATGTATAAACAATAATTTTTGTGTTAAATCAGAATATCTGTACAATATATTTCTTGAGGAATTTGTGTTGCTATGCATTCATCCTGGTGGATTGTTTACTAGCAATCAAATTTTGTTAATCTGGAAACCTAGGAAGTATCTGAATAGTTGCATATTTTTCTGCTAGGCCGTTTCCATATTGTAATCGTTTATTGGTTAAGATTTATCTACCTTTTCACCTTTCACATGAAATTTACAGCAGAAGAATAAATTTGATAGTCTGACAAGAGAAATTTTGGAATATTGTTTGGCTGCGGATACCAGCTCATTTCCTAATTGGGACTCAGCCATCTAGCTTCACTTGATTTTTTCGGAACATAATAAGCATGATCACTTTTGGAATGTAATTCCTCATTACTGACACTGCTCAACAGCTATTACCTATTTGGTGATGTTTTTTGCCCAATTATTTGACCATCAGATATGTGTCCTTTGTGAACCCTCAATGCTCGGAAGAGAGTGCTGTTTCTGGGTGGTAAAAACAGTCTATCTTCAATGTGCCTTTTTGAAAGATCATTTGGAAAAGTTTTTGTAAGATTATAGTGTGAAAAACAAAAACTATCTTTTGAAACAGTTGACTGTTATGGATGTTTCTGAAAACAGAAAATAAATTGCAAGCCATGATTTTGCACAAGTATCACCTAGATCCATGTCTTCATTACAACTCCATTATGATGTAAACATTGCATCCAAAAAAAAACATATATTTTCCTGGCGAATCATATAAATATAAAATAAAGGATTAGTTCAAGAGAAGCCCTCAGGATTTAGTTCAAGTGGCAAAGGTTGAGTGGGATTTGTGACTTTGGTCATAGGCTCGAGCCTTGCGCCATGCAAACTAAGCCTGCATTTAAGTGGAGAAAGGTAGAGGGGCAAGGCCATTTGGGCTGCGGCTGGTCCTAAGGATTATATTGGCCCCAAACCTTTTCTTTGCCATCAAAAAGAAAGGAAATGATTAGTTCAAGAGAAATAATTGTTGTACATTTTGGGAAAATGCATAATAAGAAAGAAATAAAAATAACTGGGGTTATTATGTAATTTATTAGTATTATAAAAGTCTAGATTGGTAGCTTATGAGAATTCTTTTACATAATAAATGGATAGATAATTTTTTGTTTTTTTTTAAAAAAAGAAGAGGATTGGATCATTTGAGTCAAAATGATAACATTTAAAAGTTTTTGCAAATTGTTTTTAGGTTTATGGTGGAGAACCATGATTGTTTGTTTTTTGGTTTTGTGAAAAAAATGGGTCCTATGACCTCTAGACTTGTCTGAAGTGGAATTATTACCACCCTGAGGGAGCAACAATCAAATTTAAGCTGGCCAGTGTAACTCACGCGCTGCCACCTGTTTTCATGTCAGTTTTCTTTTACCGAACTTTATTTCTTCTTTCTTTTTCAGTTGTTTAACCTACCATCTTCTCCTTATCATTCTCTCTGATTTCAACCCTGCCCACTTAAGATTTCATCTTCTTCTCCAAAGTCCAACCACAAACTTGTCTCAAGACATGCCAATTGCCCACAAATTGTTTCCAGCAACAATTATAGTATGAATATGCATAAAGAAACAACCATCCTTAGGCATGCAAAGAACCAGTGGAACTCCAATATTGGCACCCTGTGTTTGCTGGCAAAGCTCGTAGTCCTTGGTAATGGAAAGGGAATATGAATAAGTATCCATGGGGAATGGGTTAAGATGAATGAGATATTACATGGTAAGAGGTCTCGGATTCTTGTTCAATGGTGTGAAGAAGTTTATGAAAAATGACGATGAGGAGGAGAAGCTAGTTTAATGGAATATGGTGTTTTCCCAACCCTATATAGGAGGATCTGGAGGTCGAAGATTAGGATAGAAGATTAGTAGGTAGTCAAACGTTGTCTAGCTTCCCTTATCAGTATTGTTATGATAACTCACATACTATCCAGTGCTATCACAAACAACAAATGCAAAAAAGCTCTAAGGTGCGTTGGGGATTTAAGCGCAAAGTGTAAGTAAAGCATGGGCTTCAATGAAAAAAGGCGCAAAGGGAGAAAAAATTTATAAATCTATATGTTTAGTCCAAGACTAATATTATAAGCATAATGACAAATATATGAACAAATTAATTGAATTTTTTTTATGATAAAGTGAAATATCAAATATTTAGTGTTGCCTCTTCAGAAGTATCTCATTAGCAAGGAAAAGTATGCCTAGAATCTTGATGACAACATTGAAGCGCACATTAAGTGAGGCGAAGCGCTCAACCCGTTTTGAGTCTTGCTTCAGGGCTTAAGCACGCCTTTGATAACATTGATACTATATTGTTCTTCAAATTTATTATTACTTATTGTTTCCTTTGCTTCGGTTATCTTATTATGTGTTGTTGCTACTGTTCTCTTCTCCATTATGTTCAGCATGGTTGCTTCACTACTGTATCTTCTTTTTTTCCATCATGCGACTCAAGTTGAGTTAATACACTCTTTGCACCACATTAGCAAATAAGGGGATAATAGTTCCACTTTAGACAAGTCTATAGGGGTTGTAAGATGCTCGCAAATTTTAGGTGTGTAGTAAGCAAAAGGGAAAAAGTTGCGGGAGAGGGTAATTATGTATTTTCCCAAAAAAATTCTAAGAACTATTTGTACTATAAACAACAGGCGAATTTTACATTCATCTAGGAGAAGATAAGGATGTCAAAGAAGACAATAGCAACCACTGTGCTTCAATCCCAGACTAGTTGGGGTTGGCTATATCAATCCTCAACAACCACGTGAAACAAATAAATAAGTCATCTTGTTGTAGTAGAAATTTAAAATGCAAAATCATTTTCCAGCCTACACCTGTCACTGGACTTACACAGTGCTCTTTCATTTGGGTCTCACACAAATACTTTGATGCTTACTTATGAATCACATAAACCTTTATTACCCACATTTGATTTGCAGCAGTGAATCTTTGATGGTATTCTCCCCATGCTACTCGTGTAAATATAATTTTTGTTGAGTGTTGAATAGAATCTTAGGATCATCTCTTTGGCAAATCAGTTGCATTCTCGGCGTATGATTATTTGTTCACTACCTTAGGCAGTCTTTATTGATGGAAAAAATGCAACACAACTCTTTTGCAAAGGTTATGACAGTATAATTGGCTAATCACATTTGATTTCTACTGATGTTTGTTTGATGGGACTATAAATACAAGAACTGACAAGATGCGAAATAATGAACTCTTGCAAAGTTGATGTTTTTCTCTCTGTCATTGATGTAATTAAGGGTTGTGAGTATTGCAGTAGGAACCCCTAACATGTGCACACTATGCAGCAATAGCTAGTTTGTTTTGCTGATATTTCTGTTGTTCCACTCTCTTTTAAGGTTCTGACTTCAAAGTGTCATGAGATGAAAGTGCTTTCTTATATCGTGTTTTCAGCCACTGGCAGAGCTCAATGAAACCTAGCAGAGGATAGTACTGTAAATATAAGCTTATATATTTCTTTTTATCCAATTAGAAACAGTATGTCCATGCAATGTTTATCTATTTCTAATCAGCAATTTGCCACCATTAATTGTTGAGACTGGAATATGACTTTGTGAAACGTTTCCTTGGAATATCTGTTCTAGAAAAAGTTCCCCCAGAATGTAGTCATCACAAATTTTCTTCCCAAGAAATAATGATTAGTTGTCCTCATTTTTGTTTTAATGATTTTTCACAAGTTAAGCTCTTCTTTGTGTGCTCATCACTACTATTCTTGTAGTATTCTACTTACTGCAGGATAGCAAGCCGTAAGAAATCCGGTCTTTTTGGCATACTTGTGAAAGGAGAAATCTAAATTCTTTAGGCAATGACATACTTAGAAGTATTGATTATAAATTCTATAGTCTAGTTATTGGGGAGAATCAATGATAGAAATGCATTTCTACTGTTCTACATGCTTTCTTACTCTAGTATAAGGAATTGCGGCTATATCTGGTGCGTTGTCTACTTCCTGCTGAGTTGGTGTTCTTTCTTTTGCTGCAACTCCTAAAGGCGAAGGGGCCAAGCCACTTGTGAAGCTTGTGCATTTTGCTCTTAGTATATGTGAGTAAAGTGCAAGATTTAAAATGGCCTTGTAGATTGTTTGCTTTAACTACGGTGGTGGTTATATAGCTCTGCGGGAGTGGGACAATTATGTATTGGTTTTTGCAAACCAACATCTTAAAATCATTTTATTTCATGCGTTTGGTACTTAACCAAACGTGTTTGTTTGTTTCATTTCAAGAGATCACTGGGTCAAATGTTAATGCATTTGAAGCCATATGGTAGTCTAACTGATCAATGCGCATGTCATTTACTCTTTCATATTGAATTGTCAGATGTAAGTGTAAGATTACCATAGATTAATCTCCACAACAGTTGATGGGAGCTCTCCTCTTAAAATTGTACACATGTTTATAGTATTTATCAAGATCAAATGGGTTTTAGCATGTTCAATTTGTCAAAATCTAGTACCATAAGTAGGAGAGTTTCGTGTGAAGTAGTATTGATTGTTTCAGAAAGTTATGAGACTCAACGCCTTCCTTTATCCACTGGTAATACTTGACCTTTTAAAGTAGTGTTCTATCGACGATTGCCATTATCCCCTATGTTAACGTTGAACTTCTTTGGTGGTGCAGAGCAGTTGCATTTCCGAGATAGCTCCAACTAATTTTACGAAGCTTGGTCTTTATTCTTCGTTCGGAGTTTGGAGATAAATTTTCCAAAAACTTACCTGTTGCCACCCAGAACCTACGGTTTCTTGGATTTAACCTCAGGTTGTGCTCCCTCGTAACCTTAGCCCCACAGATTCGACTGTTGCTCTTTATCTCTCGTTACTTTTAGCAACATATTGTCTACATAATCCTCCATAGTGTGTGCATAAATAATTTTTAGCGTGAATACGTTCTCTTAACATTTCCCAGCCTTTAAACACAGTTTATTAACAACGTCATGATATATATACTCTACCTTCCCCATACGGTACTCTATGGTCCCCGTACTCTATGGGACTACACTAGATATGTTGTCCCAATGTTTTTTTTTACCTGAATGGCATGGCATTACTATGTGTGTGTCCCTTAGACTTGGTCTGTAAAAAATAAAGATATTTTTATGGTCCACTTATGCTTGTTGGAATTGATAATGTATTTGATAGACATACTCAAAGCTTAGTAGTTCGAACCCAGATATTGCATCGACAAGCGCCACTATTTCGGGTAGGGAAAAAAAAAAATCCTTCGATCCACATGGGTCCTATTGAAACATGAAGTACACTCTAGCCGTTGGATTCAACAAGTAATTTTGACGAGCCATCTTTTTGTGATTTGTTTACTGTAACTGATTGTTTGGGCTCGTTTTGGACATGCAATATAAAATCATGATTTGAAATAAGATTGATTTGAAGTTAAAGTTTTATTTGGGCAGCCATTCAAATCTTTTAAGTTGTATTGGAAGTCCCACAAGTTATGAGAATAATCTAATTTTTCTAATTCTTATACATCTTACCAAATAAGCAAATCGTAGTTCATAAATAAGATATCACCGTATTTTAAAACGCCACATTGCTAAATTGCATATCTTCATGTTTCCTTTATAAATAAATGATTATGATTATGAACTTTCAAATATACATAATTTTAGGTTTTATAAAGATCAACTAGTTAATAATAATAGTAACTAGTTATTGAACAATTTTTCATGCCGAGTATGAGTCCTTTTCCACAAAATTTAAAATGATGAGTCCTTTTTAATAAAATATAAACTTGTGGGTTAAATTTTACATTTAAAAACAGTTATTGAAATCACAATTTGAAATTTTAAATCATGCTCTCAAGTTACATATCCAAATGTTAATTTAAATTTATGACTTCATATCACATGGTGGACGTAAGCTTAGTATTTATGAATTGATGTCTGGTTTAAGTGGTTGTATAGCCTTGTTTGATCCTTGGTATTTAGGAATTGATTTCTGGTTTAGGTAGTTGTATAGCCTGGTTTTATTTTTATATCTGGCTGATCCTACTTCTGAAAATGAAGTATTCCTTCTATTTAATTTGTTCGTCTTACTTTTCCTTTTAACCCGTTTGAAAAATTGCATCTTTCCTTTCTTTACAACTTTTTAATCCCACATGCTAAAGATCACAAGATTAAATAACATTTTGATACATTTAACATATCTTTAGTTTAAAATTACAAGATTCAAAAGTTTTTCTTATGTTCTAAATCTTCGTAATTAAATCAGACATATAAATTAAATCGGATGGAGTAGCAAACAAAGAAAAAGTTCCAGGCACACAAAATTTACATGTATATGTGATGATGATCTTAAGAGAACCAGTTTCAGAGTCCATCTAACAAATCTTAAGTTGATTTGAGGATTTCCACCTTTTCATCTTTGCCACTAAAATGAAGAAGAATTCATATCCTCATCTTGAGTTGATTTGAGCATTTCCACTTTTTTATCCCTCTGACTAAAAGGCTGATAATATCCAAATTGAGTATTTGGATTATCACACAATATTATGGCAATCACACTTGAAGATTAGTAGACATAGATGATCCTTGAGACCTCAATTCTTGAATCTTTCCATTCACCTCAGTTACAACAAGCCTAGTCAAAAACAAACCAGCAACTAAAGCTGATCCCATCAACATTACAAAAACTGCATTCCAGCTATCAGCTGAAATATAACCTGTGAGAAATGGTCCAACTGCAGCACCAATTGATCCAGTTCCATCAATAATAGCAGTGACAGTTGCAAGCGCTCGTGAATTACCCTTCAAAGAGCTATGTGTTCCCAAGTCTGCTGAAACAGCAGTTGTTATCAACGCGTAAGGTCCATTCACAAACACTCCAGCAATCAACATGAGGATGATGTTTATAGTCATAGAGATGTGTCCGTAGCTTCGATATAGGTACAGAGCTGGGATAACACAGTACATAAAGCTAGCTGCTGTTATTGCTCTAGCATCCAACTTATCTGAGATGTAACCTGCTAGGATTCCACCTATGACCCCTCCGACATCAAACAACGTTGATAAGTTTCCAGATTCCTCGTTAGACAAGTATCGTCCATCTATTGCTGCAGTAGCATATAAACAAACAGAGAGTTAAGAAAACAACATATCTAACATGACAAATATATAGAACAGTAAACATTCATGCCTGTGTGGCTAATGTAGTAAGGCAGCCAATAGAGAAATGTGTAAGCCACCAATTTCGCGAAAAAAAGGCAAACAGCAAAGGGTGCAACCCCCGGGATCTTCCATGCTTCTATAAAACCTACAGCGCATGATTCCTCTTCTCTGTCTGATCTCGACCTCAAGAGAGGTTGTTCATTCACTTCATCGTCTTCTTTTCCGGGAGATAACAACACCTCATCTTCATCTTTATTACCCCCAACAGATTCGGGATGAACGGGTAACAAAAGGAACACTACCACACCACTAAAAGCAATAAGGATACCAGGTACAACCATCGACCAACCCCATCCATATTTCAATAAGATTGAGGCGACTAACGACCCTGTAATGTTCCCAACAGAGGTGTGAGCATTCCAAATGCCCATTATCAGTCCCCTCTTCTTCTTTCCAAACCAATTCCCGACCACTGCAACGACTGACGGCCATCCAGTGGATTGAAACAATCCAGCAATCATTTGAATGATAAGATAGTAATAGAAACTATGAATGTTTGCCCAATATCCAACTCCAAAAAGAGCTGTGAATAAACCAGTTCCCAACATTCCCACGGTCAAAAAAACTCTAAGATCCATCCTATCGCCCATGTGCCCTGAGAAATACATTCCAATGGCATACACAAATAGGAAAGCCACATCAAGGTCACCGAGCAATGTTGTTCCATCAGGGCCATTAAATGGAAACCAACCATCTCTAAATGATTTCCGAATACTATTTCCTTGCCATGGAAAAATCGGACCAACGCCAAGGGATTGGGGATCAAGTGCTTGTTTTACGATGCTTGTAGTTTTTCTATTAGCATGGTAACTTGTATATGCGAAAAATGTCACAATTAGAACAATTACTTGATATGTCTTGAAAGATAGGCTCGACTTATTTATGTTCTCTATTAATTGAATTCCTAAGGGCTTGTTGTTATTCTTCTTCATTGTTGGCTCTGGAGGTGACTCCACTAATAGGGAACTTGATCAAGATAAAATGATAAACATATATTTTCCTCTTTTACAAATGGAGAAAACAACCTGGAAAAAGATGCATAAGACAATATCATTTAGATGTAAACATTCATAAATGTTCACAAGGAACATCGCTTACTAGTCTGAAAACGTAATTCACGTGTGACTTGCAAAAAGGTATAATAATCCAGAGGACTATTTTACCCTACGTTTGGTTGGATGTATTAGACCGTTTTAAAATTATTTATCGCACCATTTATACTTTAGTGATGGAATAAATTATCTCATATATATATGGTGAAACAACTTATCTTGCCATAACTTATTCCCAACCAAACGACCCCAAATTCATGCTATATCAAATTACATATTGTAAAAAGAGCATGAGTAAAGAAACTAGCAGAGAAGAACAGTCCATTGGGACAAAGCAGAGTTTTCCAGGTCTTGTTTCTATAACATCCCAACAAGATATATACTATCTTCCTTTTTTACAACTCCATTCCTCGGTTTCAATTTATGTGACATTACTTGAATAGATATTAAATTTTTAAAAATAAATGAAGAATTTTATATGACTTGAATTGGTATTAAATTTTATAAAATAAATGAAAGACTTCTAAAACTTGTGCAGTAAATCAGATAAAATAGGAAGGGCAAAGTTAATTACTGATTACTTATCAAACATAGAAGTGTTATTTTTTAAAGTGGACTTAAAATTTAAAGTGTGTCACGTGAATTGAAACCCGAGATTTCGATGCCCTTCCCCTGATTTTACAACTGTCTCAATACAAGAAAGAAAAAAAAAACAGAGCAAGAAGATCAACATTAAAATAAAAAAATTACTTGATTATAACTGCTCTACACAAATTAAGTCATCCTTATCAAAACACAGGAAATAAGCTCAAAAGATGAAATAATATAACAATTAGTCAAGCTGCGTAAAAGCTGGGCCGAGACACCTTGATCATCAAAAAAATATACTCATATGAAGATTGTAAAGAAATTAGGCATGAATTTGAGAGCTAACCTTGTGTTTATGATCAATCCAACTAGTTAAGGTGTCTATTTGTGATATCATGTAGTTACAAACATTCATGAGTTTGCTTAACACACCAAAAAAAAGAGGAAGGGAAGGTGTTTGAAGCTTTTAATAAAGCAGTGGTAAAGAATGGTTCATATATAAAGGGAGCGGTGACACGTCTGAATCCATATTTATTTCCACCACTCTTTTAATTTACCATTATATTATACATTCCGTTCAATTTTAATTGTCATAGTTTTATTTTAGAGTCAAATTATAAAAATGACTAATATTTTATAATATATTTTTTTCATTATATTGATATGCAAAAAAAAAAATACAATTTATAGTACCTTTCATACAATTTTTTATTTAAAATATCAAATTAATATAATTTAATTTAATTTTAAAAATAAATTAAATTAATTTTTAAAAAAACGCAACATAATAAT